ATGATCAAAACAGACAGGCACGTGACATACCATGGGATTCGGGCATCTTTAGGCATAGGCATGAGTCAAATACAATCAGCACTACACAAACATTAGGGTGTGAAAAAGCTGTGCTCTCGGTGGATTTCACACATTTGATTCACTGAGGCTCAAAAAACGGATTGCGTCACTTGGTGCAATGTCATGCGTACCAGATTCGACAAAGGGGCGTCAAATTTGGTGTGGGACATAGTAACAGGTGACGAAACATGGATTTATAGTTACGATCCCAAAATAAAGCAGCAATCGAGCGTATGGGTCTTCCAAAGTGGCGCGCGTGCAAAGTGCCTCTAAGCGGATGATTGCTTCTTTTTTTTAATAAAACTGGACACGTCGCTATTTCTTTGGAGAATCGTTGTACCGTGAATAATGATTGGTACACGATTATTATTCACAAGCTCCGTAAAAATAACCGTAAGCGCCGTATCATCTTGCACCACGATAATGCCAGTTCCCACACGGCCAGACAGACAAATGAATTTTTGAAGGTGAACAACGTTGACCTTATGTATGAGCTATCCCGCGTACAGACCCGACCAGGTCACCTTATGACTTTTATTTATTTCCAAAAATTAAGAACAAATTACGCGGTCAACGATTTTCATCACCTAAAGAGGCTGTCGAAGAGTATGAAAAATGTGTTTCATAGATTGTCACGAAGGAGTGACATAAATGTTTTTTAAATTGGTTCACCCGTATGAAAAAGTGCATCAACGCTAACGGAGAATGTTTTGAGAAACAATAAATTCATTTCTGACCATTTATAGTATTTCTTTCTTATTCATTCCAGAAACTTATAGTGGGCCCCGTAATTACAATTTTTTTTAAAAGAAATTCCTCTACACCGTAGAATTCATTATCTAATAAAAGGTCTTTCAGTTGGGAACAAAACACTTCGTTATTTGTAACACTTTTTAGACTTGCGGGTAGGTGTTCGTAAAATCGGGGCCCGATTACCCACGGATTTCTCGTTCCGAGTTCGGTTCGATGAGCAGTGGGTTTCAGTGTTCCTGTGTGACGTAATAGTCGGCCTTCGCCTGTGCATCGCTCGTAAATATGTATATGTTTTTACGTACAAAAACAATTACATCGTGAACTTACGCCGTTATCACGTGGTGCTTTCGAAAAAGGCTTCTACAGGACAGGCAATGTGTACCTGTTGGAAATTTTGTAAGTTCGTTCATTCATAAACGTTCTTTCGCATGCGATTGCTCTTCTTCATTTTTGTTACAACGGAAAGAGTGTCCGTGTAAGGCTAATAGCGCAGGATAGACCGCGTGAAAGTGGCGCGTGTTTCCCTTTTTATTCCAGTGTCTGTGTAAATCCCGTTATTGCCACCTATGGCAGAGCGTAGTTTTGGTGACAGTTCATCTAAATGTAATTACTTTTTGAATTATACTATCTATAAGGTGACCTATCACAAACTCGAATTTTTAACGAAACCATTGTTCTTTCAGGATATGTTGGATGTTTAACGCAATGACACTATTAGGTTCGGTTAGGTTAGGTTAAGTTAGGTTTAAAAGAAAAAACATTTTCCTCTCAAAATTACTTTCAAGGTTATGTAAATTCGAGCAATCGTTATTTCTGGAATGCGTCATTTCGGATTACTGATAGGACTATCTATCTATATATATATTTAAATAAGTGGATTGAAAAAAAAATATTTTGAAACTTATCCACTTAAGCTTCTTAAGTGGTGATAACGCACAGGAACCCACGTTTTAAAACCAAATACAGACATCTTGATCTTAACCTTTCGCCGTAATGAAAGTTTTCTCCAGCAACGCGTTACGTTCGATGGTTTGCATTAGAAGTTAATTTCAATTTAAGAATAATTAATTACCTTTTGTTCATCGAAAACGTGGTGCGTTTTTTATGTTAAAGCAAGGGCTCAATTAATTAAACATAATCGCAGTACATCAGACGGTACATTGCACGATAGCAGGTACAGTTGTCATAATAAGTCAATTAACACCTTTTCTTTATAATATTAAGTGACGGGACGAACAAGTCGTGCGCCTGATGGTAAGCTACACGCCTGTCCATAACAGTTGCAGCGTCATAAAGCTCTTGGGCTTTAAGTCGTAAAGATCTGAGGGGCACCGCCAGTACCCTTACCCTTCAAAACCGGAACACAGTAACTCCATACCGTTTGCGACAGAAATAGGTAAGGTGGCAGTAGGGCATACAAAAACTGATTGATTTTGGAAACCAGTTTTCGGTTATTAAGTCTCGGGTAACCGGTTACCCGGATTTTTTCGGATATTTTTCTATTGTCACCCAAATAATTGATTAAAAGCGTCGGAAAACTAGAAGACATCAAGTTTGGGGGTTGATGTTGCTCGCTTCCGTAGGTTTACCCTCGAGACCCTACAACTGAACCCTAGGTGGTGCTAAAGAGCAGTAACTACTGGTGGTTGGCTTCGGTCGAACCTAGTCACCACCCTCCCGACGTAGTCGAGTTGCCAAATGGTTTCCACTTTCTCCTTTCCATCACTAGGGGACTAAGCGTAGGCTTGGGTTCCAGCCCTATGTTGTGGATATTCCAAAGATTCGCAGGAAGCTTTACGTTTCCACATTTACATGGCGAACGGCTATGGAGTGGGATTGCCTGCCTGCAGACTTATTCCCTGAACGCTATAATGTGGGCCTTTTCAAGGCAAGAGTAAATAGGCATTATTTAGGTGTAGGTACATGCTCCACCGTCGACATCATCGTCACTTTCCATCAGGTGAGAAGGAGGTCAAACGCGCACTTATATATCATAAAAAAGTTAGTGTTTTGTAAATTACTTTGTATAGAATTCACATGTAATGAAGCTAATAACGTCTCGAATTATAATTAAAAAAATCAGTAGCAATACGAATACCGTAAAAAAATACATATTTTAGAGACAAGCAATTAAACATCTTCGTTTTCAGTCTCTGCTCAAGATGTTCCAACATCTGAGGAAGAAGTCTGATGATGCTCATCATAGTCACCCAGCGGCGCAGCTAGTTATTCTGGGGAATGAAAGAATGGTGGCACACCCATACCAAATGACCTTAATTATGCTGGGAGACAGAAGAGAAAATTTGCGTTAACGCTAAGCCTTTCCCAGCTTTCAGTAGCGCCATCAGGATTCCAGATGTTAAGCGATCCTCTACCTACCCGATCAAATGGCGGTATGAGACGGCTGTGGCGAAACAGGTTAGCGGATTGGGACGCAATGTGATTTGCTTCATATCCTTGATAGGCTCGCTTTAGTTCAGGGAACTGGTCGAGCTGTGCTGATGCTGTAGTCGAAGTCTTGCGTTTAGGTGTGGAGTATTACATATCATACTCTGATGTACCCAATAGACCACAAGCTCGTCCATGTTTTAGTGCTGATTGTAGTTGTACTGAAGTACAAAAACAGCGGAAGCTTGACTGCGCAAAGCTATGAATGCTCTGAAGCTGAAGAATTTAATAAGACAGCCAAGACATACAAATGAGTGTTATGCCAAGACAAGTTCGATCAAGTGCGCTGTATAGGGGCCAAGTTTGCCTCTTTTCCAGAAGGTAGCAAGTCCTATTGGTCCCTGGCCAAAGCTGTCACAAACTTTAATCGTCCTTTAGGCGAATCTTTTTGCCTCACTCTTTGCAGAGAATAATGTCTGCGTCATGCCAAAAAGATCTACTCAGAAATCAGCGGAGTCTAAACGTGAATAAAGCTAGCGGACCAAATGGAATTCCAGCAATAGTCCTGCGTAAATATGTGTCTGAGTTATCTCCTGTTTTCAGGTCGTGGAAGCGTGGCAAACGTGCAACCTGTACCCAAAAAAAGAGAACAATGTTGACCTGTCAACTATAGACCAGTCTCAAGCACTTCCATTATCTGCAAGACTATGAAACGTGTTTTTAATAACTATCTCCTCGACAACGACTTCCTCAGTGATCGCCAGGACGGATTCCGACGAGGGTGATCTTCTTGTGTATGCGTTTCACATGTGGAGCGAGGCTATAGGAGATGAAGCACTTGCAATGTCTTGGAATATTTCTAAAGCCTTTGACAATATCTGACATGCAAACCATACACAAGCTTCATTCTTATGGGCTTCGCAATGCCTTTGCAATGGGATCTCGGATTGTTTGAGTGAGCGTTCGATCCGTTCGATTCGATCTTACACTACATTAGGCCATAGAGTTTCGGCGTGCATCAGGGTTCCGGACTGACTGCAACTCTCTTTCTGCCGCATATCAACGATATGTTAATTCCAGGTACCATCAGGTATACTGATTACAGCACAGTTGTAGATAGGTACTTGATCAATGCAAAGGTCAGTGGAAAAGAAATCCAGTCTTGTCCAGAGTCTATGATTAGTCATTTGCATTTGACACTTCGGTTGTCTCTGATTTGGGTGGTGCCAAACTTATAAAATGGAATGCTCTAAAACGCAGGCGTGTCTATTCTCCACAAAATGGAGTCCCTTTGACCTGATTTCGACTATTTGTGATATATCCATATCGATAGTCAACCATCGCCAGCTACTAGAATGAACCTGTTGTCCAGTCTGTTCTTCGGCAGATGCATAGAATTCGTGGCCAAAAATGCAACCAGGAAACTTGACAACCTTTTCAAGGTGAGGTGTTACTTCACACCGGGACAGTTGCTTCAAAAAAGCTGTGCCAAACACACATCCGGTCGTATATAGAATACGTTGTCACCTATTTTGGGATCGTTCTGCTGAATACCAACGAGCCGCCTTGGATTCTGTTGAAAAGCCTTCCAAGAGCATAGGTGACACGGATTTATACTGCTCGCTCACCTCTCGCTATCCCAAAAGTTACCCGTCTCCGTCTCGAGGACGCTGTCGCTGCCTTGTAGTTAGGTAACCAAATTCCTAGCATTTAATTAACGTTTATTTACCATTATTAACTAGGATACGATGATATTATGAGTGACAAACTTTTGTTTTAATAG